GAGTGCCACTTCCAACACCTTTGTGCATGTCTTGCCATGCTGATCATTATTATGTCTCACAGGTGTTACAGCTGGGTAGTCCTTTTTAATCGCTTCCACTGCTTGGAATTTTGCATAATATTTTTGAGAACAGTGAAAGTTACATTATAGGAAAGAAGCTTTGATATTACTTGCAGCTCTATTCATTGGCATCATGTGTCCAGTGTGTATCTTCATGGTATCTCAGCAATAGAGACTGATCCTCAACTCCAGAGAGGCAACCAAAGACTACTTGGATAATCCATATTGTTTTTGGAATCATTTGGAGTATTCTAACAAAGTCTTCAAAAGTAGGTTTCTCATTCCTGGAGTGAAGGATTTGTTGGTCTCATGGTTCTTTTGGGGAACAGTGTCAGTCTAAGAAGCTTAACTTTCTTTCAGCTATGTGTGTGTAGTGTATAATTTTAGGCAAGTACAAAATAATATGATTTCTTGGAAACTTAAACAACCCTCTTTTAATTTGTGCTTTCTCCTTATGTATTAACCTACCTATCCTTTCCTGAGTTGAAATGCTCTACTGTAATTCTGTTTCTCACTTCATTATCATCAAAATGGTAACTCTATAGACTTTTATGACATTTTTTAGTGCCCAATATCAAACACTATACATACGCACTATATACATGCAGTTCCTCTGCTTCAATTATTCTAAAGATGATTGGATTTTTTAACCCTAAGATTTAGAATTATTTATTATATACATGAACATTATAAAAATTTCCTTTATCATAACCCTTTAATTTTCCTGCATGTCAACATTCTTGAAATTGGTGAAACCAATAAAGATGAGATCTTTAAAGGTAAATTTCTACACAGGGATGGTTTGGATAGTGGTAGTCTACTTACTTCTAGCCTACTAATCAAACTGGTGTGCTTCAATGTGAGTCTGAGTGTGTATGTGTGAGTATGTACATGAGGGTTTGTGGGAGTTATTATGAAAGTGTGCATGAGAGAGATTTTGTGAGTGATTGTGATTTCACATATGAGCATATGTGAATTATTAGGTATGCATTTTTATGAGTGGATATATATGTGTGTATATGAGTGTTCATTAGTATATGACTGTATATGTATGAAAATGTGTGGGTATTTCTGTGTGTGTATATGTGTGTGTTTGCACAGTGATCATAAAGGTGGCAACTGAAACAGATATAATTGAAAAATAAGATGTATGAAAGTTCAGTCAGATATTACACTGTGCCATATAAATATGTTTATTGTTACTTCCTTTGTTTGCATAAGAGGTCCTTATATTTTTTTGTGAAGATCTGAGTATTTTTATGACTTTTTAACATAAGGAATCACTGGATAAACTCTGAGCTCAAGTTTGGCCTCTTAAAACAAAAACAAATGCAAATCTTTTTTTTTTTTTTTTTCTGTTCTTCCCTCCACTTGAATTAGCAGAAGCACTAGCATGGACAATACATCAGAAAGAGCTTGTAGAATGTTGTAACTCATGACAATGTAAATTCATGTCTGGAGTGATGTCATCTCCACGGTAAAAAGTCTTACTCTGTACCATAGAAACTGTTAAATACAGCAAAAAAAAAAAAAAACACTGAGAGCCAAGTTGCAGAAGACAACTGACCATGGCCAATTCCAATTGGTAAATCTTCATACCATACCTCTTAAGGCTAAGGTAACATTGTGGAAAAGTGCATAGAAAGATTTCAAACAGTCAGAGGAACAAGGTGTTTTCCATGAGATTGTGCTCCCACATATGACAGAAAAGCCACACTCATAAAATCTTAACAACAATGCTTCCTAAACAAGACCCAAGTAATGATATGAATTAATATTAATGTAATGCTGTAGAACCCCATGTCTAGACATGCTACAGATAATTAATTGCTATTGAGAGAGAGAATTACTCTTTCCAAGACATAAGCATCCTAAAATCATATGCATAGAGGCAGTACTAAAGACTCAGAATGTTTGCTGTTGGTAGGTGTGTCTGTGCATGTTTAAAATAAGGAATAAGAGAACATGAATCAGAGGTAGATAAGATAAGAATAAAGAGGAAATGAGGCAATCATTTTAAAAGAAACATTGGGCATACATTCTTATAAGATTTGGAGTAATGTTTGTCTTCAATTATCATCTTTGTAATGTTCATGAATAAATATGTCTTCTACACCAGTTCCATCTTATGAACCTAAAGGCCATTCAGCTCTATGCATCAACTTCAGTTATGAACAAAGTTTGAACATTCAAACACTAGTGAATTAGGATTCACTCAATATTTTGGTTCTTTGGAACTTCTGTGTGCATGGAGGCCTTTATGTAGCTGAGGTTTTCTGCACTTTCATATGGGAAGCTTCATTAAGGTTACCCTTAGCTCTGTGGATTAAAAGCTTTACTTATTTGCTAAGTTATCATCAACATGCTTCCCCAAAACTTCTCTTTTTCCTGCAGGATCTCTAGTATATTTATTCTCAAGGATTTTGATAGCTTGGGTGTTTATATTTAAGGCTGGAATTCATTTTGATCTGATTTTTTGCATGGAAAAGGGTTGATCCAAATTCATTCTTCAGTTTTCAATATGCATAAATCAACCAGACAACTTTCTGAGGACAGTTGTTTCATGACCACCTCAACTCACCCACATGCCCGGTGGTGGTCCAGATCCAGTGGTTTTGGTAATGCTTTCCCTGGGAAAGGGGAGATGAAGAGCAATTTCACCTATCACATCATGAACAATTCTCTAATTGTCTTATCAAAAAGCAAACAAAACATAATAAAATGTAAGCTGTCAAACATTACTTGAAGAACTTAAGACAATGTAAATACATTCACTTTTCAAAGTATTTGTGTGATTATGGCCACTTCAGATTCCCTGTGAATTTAAGAAAATTTTTCTTTTGTGCTTTTTCCAGTGTGAAGGATCATAGCCAGACTTTGCTATAGGAATTGCTACACTTCTGACTCAAATCCAGCCTAACAAAGATTTTTCTCTTTTCTTCCAAGGGGAAAAAAACTATGTAATAGAATTTCAATAAATCTATATAATTAGTAAGATACTGATCCTGAAGTAGGGAGTCATAAATTCCATTATTGAAGTATGGTTTTGTGTTTCTTTACATTTTCTTTCATTTATTTTGATGACATATAATAGCTGCATTTTATATTTCGTTCTTTATAATACTCTTTAAGTACCTTATTTGCCTTTGTTGCATATAGTGGAATCACTTTTATTAACCTTTCCATTGTCTTAGTCCTTAGTATAGTATAAAGGTTCAGTCTTTCACTATTAAGTTATGTTTTATTATGAATTTATCATCTATCACTTTATTGGTTATAGACGTCCTCTTTCTCACTTCTCTTAAAAGTGCTTTTTGTAATCATAAATAGATGTTAAATCTGATCAAATGTATTTTATCTCTTTATTGGAATAACATTATATAAGGTGTTCTATGTGTGTAGGAGTGCTTGAGTGTGTACCTGTGGGGGGGGGGGGCAGAGGGAAGGATGTTTGGTGCTAGGTTTATGTGAGTAATATATTCAAGTCCTGGGGTTCAGCAATCTTCCTGTCCCCCACACATACTATATAATTATTGCGTCCTGCCTTGTAGTGCCTGTGTACATGGCCAATACTTGTTCCAAATAAGGGCTTTCAGATCATTGTTCAGACATAGACAGTCAAGTTATAAATTCTCATAGTGCACTATTGAGGACAAAAAGCTCCACACAAAACATTAGTCCACTTCTATAATTATTTCTAAAAAGGAAATAATTCAAGGTATAGTTTTACTGAAGTTCAATGAAATTTCAGTTGGATTAGTATGTGATGTTTACTAGCCATAAATTTCTTCATTTCTAATTTGCAATCATTATGAGAAAAGAAATATTAAGTTTGGCAACGGGTATTAGATGACACTGTGTGTGAGGTGAGGGTAATTGGATCAGGGTAACATTGTAACAGTGGAGAAAGAACGTGGTTTCTGAATAAACATTCTCAAAATTTCCCAAAATATATTTCTCTGAGAATTTTCCTCCAGTTTTACATTGTAAATAACATATACCTACAAAGTCAATTTGTACTCATGGAGGAGGTTGTGATAATTTTTAAACTTTGTGCCAACAGGCTTCTAATTGCCCATTCCATGATATTGGATAATTAATGGAAGTTTAAAAAAAACTCATCAATTGCATAATTTATCATATAAAATATCTATATTTAAATTGATGAAAGTTTATACTATATAAACCTGGTGTTAAACTTCTCTATAGCCCTGATGGAGAATAATGGATTTAATTCATCTGTGTACTCTTACATATGTGTATTCTTACATGTGTGTTATCTATGAACATCTGCTTTCATTTCTTTTTTGCAAGTTTCTTTCATGAAATACTTCAAAGGAGATATTTCTGTGGAATTTAGATTCTTACACAATATAATACATTACATTTTAAAAAATAAAAATGGCTTTGTGTTTAGATGCTGACTGAAAAAATATGTTCCCTTGAATATTAAAGGGGATTTGATGTGCTATGATTTGGTAGTGTGATGTTGAATAGTAAGCCTACTTTCTTTAGATTCACGGCAGATGCTCTTTTAAATCACATGGAAATTATACTACTCATTACTTATAAGTTAAAAATTACTATTAAATTTTCAGAATCTTTACATATGAAATTGTGCATGATCTCCAATTAAAATGGGCTTACATGTAACAATTTTAGAATGTTGAGATACCTTTTTAATACAGCATAATCCACTCTCAGACGACAGGTTCTAACTATGTGCTCTTGGCTGCCATGGGACTCATTGCACAGGGCAGGCTAGACTTACCTCACAGAGGTTAACCTAACTCTGTCTCGTAAAGGCTGAAAGTAGAGGTCTGCATCCTCACACCTGCATAATATAAAATAATGTTTAAAATTCAATCATTAGGTATATGCAGGGACATTTTCTCATCCTTTTTATTCTCACTGATTTATTAATTAATTTATCATTACAGATCAAAAAAATCAACAGAAATTTCCCTGTAAACCAGCAGGTAAGATCAAGTAATACTTTGAAAACCAAATCATACTTTTTCAATGTGTCTTTTATGGAAGTAATCTTGATGACACCTGATTCTTCTACAGAAATAATTAGTACTATAAACTACCTTCAGGGAAAATGAATTCATTAGTTATTTTAATATATCTGCTTCACTGAATACATGCAGAGTAGGTTTTAAAGATATGTAATCTAAGACAAAAACTATTTTTGCCAAAATTGTTATATTAATTTGTGTACAATTCTGAGAAAATAGATATAGTCTTTTAAAAGATATCTTTAGTATATCTTAAGTTACATATTATTTTATGTATTTTTCTGTCTTTACTCTTGTTCATGGAATGCCTTCAGAGCAAGTGTCAATGCTCTATAACTGGATTTTCAGATGATTATAAGTGTCATTCGGGTGCTGAGAACTGAACCCTGGTCCTCTAGAACAAATGCTCCTAACTGCTGAACCCTCTCTCCAGTATCTTATGTATATTAATATAAATAAACACTATAAATTGATCTCAGTACCTAATAGGTTGAAAGACTTCCAGAAAGGTTGACTTAATTCATAGAATAAAAATAATATCCTATTGATCCATTATAGCCATCCCTCACATTCTAAACATGCATTGCTCTTTATATATATGTGTGTATATAATTTTTTCTTATTTTACATATCGATTTCAGTTTCTTCTCCCTCCCTCCAATGCCCCCCAACACTCCTCCCATCACATTCCCCACCCACTTCACAGGGAGGGTGATGCCTTCCAGGATGGATCATCAAAATCTGTCCAGTCATTTGGAGCAGGGTCTAGGCCCTCCCTCCTGCATCTAGGCTAACGGAGTATCCCTCCATAGGGAATGTGCTTCCAAAGCTCTTTCATGCACAAGGGATATAATCTGGTTCCACTATCAGAGGTCCCTTAGATTGCCCAGGACTTCTAATTGACACCCATGTTCAGGGATTCTGAGTTGGTACAATGTCGGTTTCTCCAGCTATGAGTCTGAGAGTTCATGAGCTCCCCCTTGTTCAGGTCAGCTGTCTCTTGGGTTTCTGTAGCCTGGTCTTGACTCCATTATTCATCACTCCTTCCTCTCTGAAACTAGATTCCAGGAATTCAGCTAGTGTTTAGCTGTGGTTATCAGCTTCTGCTTCTATCAGCTACTAGATGAAGGCTCTAGGATAACATATAAGGTAGTCATCAATCTCATTATTGTGGAAGGACATTAAAGGTAGCCTCTCCACTATTGCTTAGATTGTTAGTTGAATTCATCCTTGTATATCTCTGGACATTTCCTTAGTGCCAGATTTCTCCTTAAATCTATAATGGCTCCCTCTATTATGGTATCTCTTTTCTTGTTCTCCTTTATTCTTTCCCTACATCAATCTTCCTGTTCCTTCATACCCACCTCTCCCATCCTCTTTTCCCCTTCTCTTTATAATAACGCCCTCTTTTCTCCCTACATGCTTCCGATTTGCTTTTGAGATTTTTGTCCTTTTAACCTTATTGGGGGACCATGCATGTCTCTCTCTGGGTCCTCATTGTTTCCTAGCTTTTCTGGTGTGTGAATTGTAGCCTGTTAATTCTTTGCTCTAGGTTTAAAATCCATATATGAGGGAATACAGTGTTTGTCTTTTTTGTGACTTGGTTACCTCACTCAGTATGGTTTATTCTAGTTCCATATATTTCCCTGCAAATTTCAGGATTCTATTGTGTTTTTCTGCTGATATGTACTCCATTATGTAAATATACCATATGTTCTTCATCCATTCCTCAGTTGAAGGGCATCTAGGTTGCTTATAGGTTCTGGATATAACAAATAATGCTGCTATGAACATAGTTGAACAGATGTCCTTGTTGTATGAATGTCCTTCCTTTGGGTATATGCCTAAGAGTAGAATTACTGGATCTTGAGTTAGACAAATTCCCATTTTCCCAAGGAACCACCATACTGATTTCGAAAGTGGCTGTATGAATTTGCACTCCCACCAGAGTATTCTGGCTTTTCCACATCCTCTCCTGCATACACTGTCTTTGGTGGGTTTGATTTTAGCCATTCTGACAACAGTAAGATGGTATCTTAGAATTGTTTAGATTTGCATTTTCCTGTGAATAAGTATGTTGAGCACTTTCTTAAGTGTGTTTCAGCCATTTTAGATTCATCCATTGAGAATTATCTACTTAGTTCTATACCCCACTTTTCAATTGCATTATTTGGTGTTTTGGTAACCAACTTTTTGAGTTCTTGTATATTTTGGAAATCAGCCCTCTGTCAATCTGGGGTAGGTGAATATCTTTGCCAATTCTGTGGGCAGCCGTTTTGTCATGTTGACTATGTCCTTTGTATTACAGAAGCCTGTCAGTTTCAGGAGGTCCTATTTATTAATTGTCCATCTTAGTTTGTGCTACTGATGTTATAGGGAGCAGTCTTCTGTACCAATTCATTCATGGGTACCTCCCACTTTCTCTTCTAAGAGGTTTAGTTTGGCTGGATTTATGTTGAGGTCTTTGATCCATTTGCCCTTAAGTTTGATAGATATAGATCTACCTGCAGTCTTCTACACAGTAGCATCCAGTTATACCAGCACCATTTGCTGAAGATGCTTTATTTTTTCCATTGTATAAATTTACCTTCTTTGTAAAAAAAAAAATCAGGTTTCTATAGGTGTGTGGGTTAATATCAGGGTTTTCAATTTGATTCCATTAGTCTATCTGCCTATTTTTGTGCCAATCCCAAGCTGATTTCAGCACTATAGCTCTATACTAGCAGAACTTGAAGTGGGGGATGGCGATGCTCCCAGAAGTTCCTTTATTCTAACAGGGTTGTTTTGGCTATCCTGGGTCTGTTGTTTTTCCATATAGAGTTGAGGATTGCTCTTTCAAGGTCTGTGAAGAAAACTAATTCTCCTCAAAGTGTTCCATACAATAGAAGCAGAAGTGTCATTGTCAAACTCTTTTCACCAGGCTAATCACCCTGGCACTCAAGCCACACAAAGACACAACTAAGAAAGAGAACAACATACCAACATCCCTCATGAACATTGTTGCAAAAATGCTCAATAGAATACTGGCAAATGGAATCCAAGAATACATCAGAGAAATCATCTAGCATGACCAAGTAGGCTTCATCCCTGGGATACAGGGATTGTTCATCATAAAAATATCCATCAATGTAATCCACCATATTGAAAAAGAAAAACCACGTGATCATCTCACTAAATGCTGAAAAAGCTTTTGACAAAATCCAACACCCCTTCATGATAAAGGGGATTAATGTTATCAGGGATAACAGAAACATACCTAAACATAATAAAAGCAATATATAGCAAGCCAACAGCTACCAAAGTAAATGGCAATCTTGCCAAAAGCAGTCTACAGATTCAATTCAGTCCCAATCAAAATTGTTTGAATATAAAGAAAGAGCCTTGGAAGAAAGTCTGAGCAGCCATAATTAGGTAGATCTCTTTAGTTGTAAGATAGAAAAAGATGGAAATTTGTAGGTTTTGTGTATCTTACAAAAGTAAACATGATAACTACTTTTTTGATCTCTGAATGGATTTAGAACATCTCCTGCCTTCCTCTTTCTAACCTCTGTAAGTGTGTCTGAGTCAAAAAGCTAATTTACTATACTTCATAACCTAAATAATCCTACAGCCTTTCTTTACATACAATAATAACTACATTTTAATATGCCTTCTAACAAAAGAATAATAGACAAAGATATTTTTACTAATTTATTTTATGAAATACTTCATAATGATGAATGATAAAATGCAGAATAGAAAGAAATGCTTACTTTCATGTATTGATGAATTTGCTTCATTTGATCCATCTTATTTGAAATTCATAGTTACATAACAACATTTTTGGCCAATGATGATTGAGTGAGCTTAAGTTTGGTTTTCATTAATTTAAGTATTTATAGTGATTATATTAAGTTGGCTCATACTTTTCGACGTAAATTACCTTTGTCACTTGTAATACCAAAGTTTAACACAGTGTAATTATTTTCCTCATCGTAGATTACCACCTCTATGTATACCCAGGTTAGAGTAGTACACAGCAAATTAAATAAGAATCACTTATAGGAGACTTGAAAGATAAATCACACTGTAAAGTAGTTAACACAAACAGGAAGGTCTGAATTCACTACCCAGAAACACCATTAAAAAAATACAATTCCCATAGTACCATGCCCATTGGTATCATTATTCAGGTCTTCGTTTGGCAGCCATGTAGTGGGGCTTCTACTTATGAAATTCCTATAAGATTCAATTTCACAGCAAATCATCTGATCATATGTCGGTTACAAACTTTCTGGCCAATCCTTCCTCAATGATATCTGAACCTGTCATGCAGAAAATGAGTTTGTTGTAAACATCTTTGTTGTGACTGAGCACAACATTGGAATAGAACTTTTTATTAACTCAGTTTTTTCATTAAAAATAGTTTTCCTTCAATTTCCTTATTTATATTTGATATTATAGTATGATTACATCATGTCCCCCTTCTTTTTTTCTCCTTCCAAAACCTCTCCAATTCTCATTTCTATTCTTGATATTTGTGGCTTCGTTTATCATTAATAGTTGACAAATACATATTTGATCATGTATATGTATGTGTAAAAACATTACTAACTATGTAAATACAAACTACACAGTCTGGCTAATATTGCTTGTATATTTATTTTCAGGGATAAAATTTGATATTAGATAACCAACTGTTCTGTTCTTCCCTAGAAAGAGTATTTCTCCTGAGCTCAGCATTTCTTTTGTCCTTGTTACGTTCCTGTTTAAGCAGTCATGTTGATGAGACTGATGAGACATTATGGGTGTAGCATCTGACATTACTAGGATACACATCTCACAGCAATCTCCCTGATCCTCTGGCTGCTACACTCTTTCTACCTCCATCATTGTGATTCAATTCTCACTTTAAGAGATGGTGACCAGATAACATACAGGGATTTACTCATTTTTTGTTTTGTCTTGCTTTGTTTTGT